CCATTTCTGATGAGGGGTCTAGGCCCGAAACGTCAGCCTTCCTGCTCCTATGATGCTGCTTGGCCTGCTATGTTCATCCAGCTCTACACCTTGTTATCACTATCTGGTAGGCATTGCATTATGACATAGATTCCATACAGCACATTCAAACCCATGACCATGACCAACTGGAAGTTAAAGGTTAGCAGATACATGGGAACACCACAACAACTAGCTGGAAGTACCCCTCTAACCTCCACATTGAATAATACAGCATGGAAACAGACCCTTCCATCCAACCAGACCAAGCCGAACATAATCATTATCAGGCTTTAAAAATAAATTGTCATGCTTTCAGTGTCACTGGGTCAAAATCCTGGAACTCCCTCCTTAACATCATTGTGGGTCTACCTAAACCAAATGGACTACAGCAGTTCGAGAGGCTGCTTATTTCCATTTTCTCAAGGGCAACTAGGGACAGGCAAGCCAGCAAGTCTACATGCCATGAATTATTTTTAAACCCATAATTACACAGAAAGTTGAAATAAATCTTTTACACTTCATTAATAAAATGACTTTAGAATATTATGAATGTTAAGACGAGAACCACCACATAAATAAATGAGGAGCTCTCTCGTTCTGATGTTAACGCTCTAATTCCATTTTGAGCGCCTGAAGTGATCGAGTTTTCTACGTAGGATTACAGTCACTGTGACGATTGCTCTGCCATTTGCACTCTATCCAAACGCGATTGAAAACCAGGTCCAACAGATCCATCCGACCTCAATTAAACGGCAAAAGCAAGCCTGGAAAAATAGAGAATCCCTTTTGCTGCTTCGCAATTTACTTCGATTGCAAAGAGCGAAGATAGTTGCAATTGAGTTTGTGTGTTGCGGGGCTGAGGATGAATTTGCCATCTGGAGACGCTGTGTCCATAGTAACAGGCAGCTGATTGCGGCCGGCGCACAAACACTGAAACAGCTCCGGAAGGACGGCGATGCTGTCCGGCTCCATCCAGATCTCCGGAGAGACCCTCTCCTCGGCGGAGGTGAAAGACATTTGTGACTCTCTGAGGACCAATTCGGTACGGCTATTGTCGCTGAGGGGCTGTCACATCTCAGACCGTGATTTCCACCGCATCAGCCGGCATGTGGCGGACTGTCAATCCTTGGCACAGCTCAACCTAAACCTTGGGGTAGTCAGTAACATCAACCGAGTGAAACAGCTGGCAGAAGCACTGGCATCCAACAGGTCCATCCACTCCCTCTTGTGAGTATTAGGGTTATAGAATCAAATTATGGAAGGGGAGCCATAGAGCCTAATTTGGGAGGAATGTTACCTTTTTTAATTGAGTGACAGTGTCTGTGTATTTTTAATCTGACTTTCAGATATATTATGACAAACCTCCGGAGCAGGTGGGGCTTGAACCTGGACCTTCTGGCCCAGAGCTTAGGAAAAAATCACTTTATCAAAAGACCCATTTGGCAGTATGCATCCATTGACTAACCGATTCATTATCTAGTCAATGAAGTGTGGAGCTGGAGGACACGACAGTCTGGCGGCATCACAGGAGCAGGAAAGTCGATGTTTTGGGTTTAAACCCTTCATCAGGAATGGGGAGTGGGAAGGGAGCTCGAAAATAAATTGAGGGGATGGGGAAAGGTAGGTGGGATGGTGATAGGTCGATGCAGGTAGTGGGTAGTGGAGATTGGTCAGTGGGAAAGCTGTGGCAGAAAGGTGAGAAAAAGATGAACAGGTTGTGTCAGGTCAAGGAAGTGGGGATGAGAGGGAGGGTTGGACATGGGATGAGGCTGGGCATGGGGAGATTTTGAAACTGGTGAATTCCATGTTGAGGCTATCAGGCTGTAAGCACCTGAGGCGGAATATAAGGTGTTGTTCTTCCAGTTTGCATGTGGCATCATTGTGACACTGGAGGAGACCCAGGATAGACATGTCACCAAGGGAGTGGGGAGGGAGTTAAAATGATTAGCAACCAGATGGTGTTGATGATAATAGTATACAGAGTGCAGATGCTCCATGAATCAGTCACTGAGTCTGCGCTTGGTCTCACTGTTGTAGAGGACACCACTTCGGGAACAACGGATACAGTAGACCAGATTGCAGGATGTATAGGTGAATCCCTGATGGAGGTGAGAGGGGAGGTTTGGGTGCAGATATAACACCTCTTCTGGTTGCAGGGAAAGGTGCTGGGTGTGGTGGTGTTGATGGGGAATGTGGAGCGGACGAGGGAGTCGCGGAATGAGCGGTCCCTACGAAAGGCAGATAAGGGTGGGGAGGGAAATATCTCTTTGGTGGTCTGGTTGGATTGCAGGTGGCAGAAGTGGCGGAGGATGATGTGCTGGATGCAGATGTTGGTGGGATGGTGTGTGAGCACCGGGGGATTCTGTCCTTATTTTTGTTGAGGGGAGGGGCTCTGAGAGCAGAAGTGCAGGAAAAGCAAGACATGCAGTTGAGGGCATTATGAATCAACAGAGGGGGAAAGTTGTGGTCCTTGAAGTAGGAGGACATCTGGGATGTCCGTGAGTGGAACGGTCTATCTTGGGAGCAGATGCGGCAGAAGCAGAGGAATTGGGAATAAAGGATCAAATTCTTGCAGGAGGGTGGGTGAGAGGAGGTGTAGTCAAGGTCACAGAGTCCCCCTGGTCTTCACATACTACCCCTGCATCCAGCACATTAGAACATAGAACAGTACAGCACAGTACAGGCCCTTCGGCCCACGATGTTGTGCCGAACTTTTACCCTAAACCTAAAGTCTATCTAACCTCCACCCCTACCTTATACTATCATCCATATGCCTATCTAACAGCCGCTTAAATGCCCCTAATGAGGCTGACTCCACTACCCTCTCCGGCAATGCATTCCACGCCCCTACCACTCTCTGAGTAAAGAACCTACCTCTGATGCCTCCCCTATATCTACCTCCACTCACTTTAAAACTATGCCCCCTCGTAATAGCTACCTCCACCCTAGGAAAAAGTCTCTGACTATCCACTCTATCTATACCTCTGATCATTTTGTATACCTCTATCAAGTCACGTCTCATCCTTCATCGTTCTAAAGAGAAAAGCCCTAGCTCTCTCAACCTTTCCTCGTAAGACCTTCCCTCCATTCCAGGCAACATCCTGGTATATCTCCTCTGCACCTTTTCCAACGCTTCCACATCTTTCCTGTAATGAGGCGACCAGAACTGGACACAATACTCCAGATGTGGCCGAACCAGGCTTTTGTTTAGCTGGAGCATAACTTCATGGCGCTTGAACTCCATCCCTCTATTACTGAAAGCTAACACACCATATGCCTTCTTAACAACTCTATCCACCTGGGTGGCAGCTTTCAGAGAACTGTGTACATGAACCCCAAGATCCCTCTGCTCCTCCACACTGCCAAGAATCTTTCCATTAACCCTGTATTCTGCTTTCAAATTTGTCCTTCCAAAATGAATCGCCTCACACTTTTCAGGGTTAACCTCCATCTGCCACTTCTCAGCCCAGCTCTGCATCCTATCAATGTCCCTTTGTAACCTAGAATGGCTCTCCGCACTATCCACAACTTGACCACCTTCATATCGTCTGCGAACTTACTAATCCACCCTTCCACTCCTACATCCAAATCATTGACAAAGATCACAAATAGAAGAGGACCCAGAACAGATGCTTGTGGTACACCACTCGTAACTGAGCACCATGTTGAATATTTTCCGTCCACTACCACCCTTTGTCTTCTAAGGGTCAGCCAATTCTGAATCCAATCTGCCACATTTCCCCGTATCCCATGCCTCCTTACTTTCTGCATGAGCCTACCATGGGGAACCTTATCAAACGCCTTACTTAAATCCATGTATACCACATCCACTGCACTCCCTTCATCCACATGTTTGGTCACCTCTTCAAAGAATTCAAAGAATGAGGCATGATCTACCCCTCACAAATCCATGCTGACTATCACGAATCAAACTGTGCCTATCCAAGTGATCATAAATCCTACCTCTCATAATTTGCCCACCACTGAAGGAAGACTAACTGGCCTGTAATTTCCAGGGTTATCCCTATTCCCTTTTTGAACAAGGGAATGACGTTTGCCTCTCTCCAATCTTCCAGCACTATACCTGTGGACAGTGAGGACGAAAAGATCATCACCACAGGCCCTGCGATCTCTTCCCTCGCTTCCCATAGAATCCTTGGATAAATCCCATCAGGCCCGGGGGACTTATCTATCTTCAAGTTCCTCAAAATTCCTAGCACATCTTCCTTACTAACATCGATCTCGTCTAGCCTACCAGCCTGTTTCACACTGTCCTCCTCTACAACTAGGTCCCTCTCAGTTGTGAATACCAAAGAAAAGTATTCATTAAGGACCTTTCCTATCTCTTTAGGCTCCGTGCACAAATCCCCTTTACAATCCTAGATCGGCCCTACCCTTTCTCTGGTCATTCTCTTATTCCTCATATACATGTAAAAAGCCTTGAAGCTTTCTTTGATCCTATCTGCCAAGGTTTTCTCATGCCCCCTTATAGCTCTCCTAAGCCCTTTCTTCAGCTCCTTCCTGGCTAACTTGTATCCCTCTAGAGCCTTTTCCGATCCTTGTTCCTAAACCTTATATAAGCATCCTTCTTCCTCTTAACCAGTCATTCGACCTCTCTTGAGAACCAAGGCTCCGTCACTCAACCACATCTTCCCTGCCTGCTAGGGACAAACATATCGAGCACACACAGTATGCATTCCTTAAACAATCCCCACATTTCAATACCTCCGCCATTTCCATCACCTGCAATCCGACCCCACCACCAAAGAGATATTTCCCTTCCCACCCCTATCTGCCTTTCTTAGGGACCGCTCACTCCGTGACTCCCTCGTCCACTCCACATTCCCCACCAGCCCCGCCTCACCCGGCATCTTTCCCTGCAACCGTAGGAGATGCTACATCTCCCCTCTCATCTTTGTTCAAAGCCCCAGACAATCTTTCCACATCTGAAGGGATTCACCTATACATCCTCCAACCTGGTCTCCTGTATCCATTGTTCCCAATGTGGTATCCTCTACATTGGTGAGACCAAACGCAGACTCAGGAGTACCTGCGCTCTGTATGCTATTATCAACAACACCTTCCGGTTGCCAACCATTTTAACTCCCCCTCCCACTCCCTTGGTGACATGTCCATCCTGGGCCTCCTACAGTGTCACATTGACACCACATGCAAACTGGAGGAACAACACCTCATATTCCGCCTCGGGAGCTTACAGCCCAATTCACCAGTTTCAAAATCTCCCCATGCCCAACCTCATCCCATGTCCAAACCTCCCTCTCATCCCCACCTCCTTGACCTGACACAACCTGTCCATCTTCTTTCCCACCTGTCCGCCCCATCCTTGCCACTGACCAATCTCCACTACCCACTACCTGCATCCACCTATCACCATCCCACCTACCGTCCCTCAGCCCCATCCATCCCCTCTATTTATTTCCGAGCTCCATTCCCCCTCCCCAGTCCTGATGAAGGGTGTAAACCCGAAACATTGACTTTCCTACTCCTCTGATGCTGCCTAACCTGCTGTGTTCCTCCAGCTCCACACTGTGTTGACTCTGACTCCAGCATCTTCAGTTCTTGCAACCTCCAAGTGGTTCATTATCAATTCCTCCATTTGTAGGAAGCTGATTGTCCGACTGTCAATTTGGCCATTTGCAGTGAGCTTATAGTTGTAACAATCTTACAATCTTGTTCTGCCAAAGAACGATGCTTTTTGTCCATATTGAATATTTGCAAGAATATTGTGCAATTCCCACTTCACCTACACTTGCTCCAATATCTTGAATTTGTTTTTCAACAGATAACTGTCCAATCCCCCTTTAAAACCCACAGATTAAAGTATTTGTACCAAGATCTTAGGCATACATTTCGGATCCTAACAATTTGCTGCATAAAAAAATACTTCTCAAGTCGCCTTTGGTTCTGTTGCCAATTGTCTTGAGCCTGTGTCCTTTGGTTCTTGAATCCTCCACCAATGATAATAGTTCTTTGGGTAGAATCTTAGAAGGGCTAGAACAATGTGGGCTATGGTGAGAAATGTGGCAAAATTGCACAAAATGTCCAGCGAATCTATCACAATGTCAGGAACCATTCACTGCATTTTTTAACTAAGTAATGGGTGTCAAGGTGAGATTTTTGGTAGGCAGTTGCCTAATAAGAAGGATTATTATTTGTTAGTGACCTTATTAAATGCAAATATCATCTCATTAATGTGCAGTTTTTGT